ACACCTGCCTCCCCAGCAGCATCCCTCCCTCCCCCGGTTCATCTCCCAAATATACTGCCCCCCAACACATATTCCCCCACACACATATTGCCCCTCCACAGCATCTTCTCCCTTCCATATCTCCACGCTCCTTCCCCCAGAATGCTTTTGCCACCCCAGATTCAGAGCCAGCCTTGGTGGCCTTGGTGACCCCAACTCCCACTCCCGGAGTCCCCCCTCCATCAAACCCTCCCATGGGGGTACCAAACCCGCCCACTCCCCAGCACAACTCTGACATTCGGGGTACCCAGTGAAATCCCACCCCAAATCCCTCCTGGGTTATCCCCCAGGCAAAACACTCTTATTTTGGAAATATCTGTTAATTACTGTTCCTTTGGGGGGGCTCCTATCTGAGCAACCTCAACCCCAATTTTTGGCTGCATGAGACATCAGCTTCCCATCTCTCTCCCAAAGACCTGAAGATGAGATTTCCCTGGAATCATTGGGAGCACTGGGTCCTACAGCCAAATTTTCCCTCATTTTATTGCAAAAGCCACAGGGACTGATTTTTCTGGATCAGTCTGGCCATAGTTTTTTTTCTCCCAATTTTCCATCCCCTTCCCTTCTAATGAAAAATGCCATCAAGAATGGATTTAACGAGAGCTGCTGAATTTTTACCCATTTCCTAAAGATTTCAGGTGGGGGGTCAGAGTCACTCAAAAGAGCCCCAGAATTTCTTTGGAATAGGTTAATGGGATAAGAAATAAGTTAAAACTGGCTCCAAAGACTTACAGGGGGATGCCAGCCAGGGGCACTAAATGCTGTGTAAGGGATGGCCATGGGGTCAGGGATGCAAGGGGAAAGGTGGGCAAACAAATTAAATTTAAGGCCAGGAACCCAAAACAATTTAATTTTTTTCTACAGTTTTCCAGAACAAATGACCTCTTGAAAATAATCAACATTCCTAAATCTCTCCTTCTAGTTTATCCCAAAAATAAATCCACCCAGAAAATATTTTCTCCACTGTTTGTACTTCCTACTTGGGAGCAGGCTCTAACCACACACTGATGTCCTTTGGGTTGGCCAATGAAGAGCAAGGGAAAATAGATGGCTCCCACTTGGAATCCATCAATAAAATCACAGAGAGATGCTGTGCCTGGTTGGGATGAATCTCACCCACTCCCCTCCAAAAAGAAATAAAAAAAAAAAAATCACTGCATTGCATCACTGAGAAAGCCAGCAGGAACTCAGAGCATCCCCCCAGTCCTTGGGAGATGTTGGAATGATTTATAGGAATTTCTTGCCTTGTAAATCAGCCAGCAGGACGTTTTTCCCCTCCCTTATTACTATTCCACAGAAGCGAGCAAAGATGAGGAGCCATAAAGCTGTCGCCGGTTGTTTCAACCAGCTGGGGATGCCAGACAGAAAATATTTTGGGTTTTGCAGAAGCTGGAGAAGTGGAAAGGAAGAGAGGAGGGGAGGCAGATGGAAAAGCCATCACTGTGATATCAAAGGACCACTGGATCATCCGCACTTGGCGTCTCATCTTCCTCACGTCTCATCTTGGAAAACAGGGATGTAAAAGAGCAGGCACATGTGGGGCGTATTTAAACTACATCATTGCCAAAAACATCCAAGAGCTCAAAATTTTAGGGTTCTCTTGGTGCAGGGATCTTTCTTCTGAAGCCAGCAGCAACGAGCTCCTCACATTCGTTCCTCAAGCATCCCAAATCCATTCCTCAAGGATCCCACATTTGGTCCTTGAACATCCCGCATTTGGTCCTTGAACATCCCATATTTGATCCTTGAATATCCCACTTTTGGTCCTTGAACATCCCACATTTGGTCCTTGAATGTCCCAAATTTGATCTTTGAATATCCCACTTTTGGTCCTTGAACATCCCATATTTGATCCTTTAATTTCCCACATCTGATCCTTGCATTTCCCACCTTCGATCCTTGAATGTCCCACTTTTGGTCCTTGAATATCCCACATTTGATCCTTGAATGTCCCAAATTTTGTCCTTGAACATCCCATATTTGATCCTTGAATATCCCACATTTGATCCTTCAATTTTCCACATCTGATCCTTGCATTTCCCACCTTCAATCCTTGAATGTCCCAAATTTGATCCTTGAATATCCCACTTTTGGTCCTTGAATGTCCCACATTCGATCCTTGAATGTCCCACATTTGATCCTTGAATTTCCCACATCTGATCCATGAATATCTCACATTTGATCCTTGAACATCCCATATTTGATCCTTGAATATCCCACATTCACTCCTTGGGCACCCCTCATTTATCTTCCCCAATTGCCAAAGCAATTCCTCCACTGGTTTTGGAATCTCACTTTAAAACTCCAGGGAAAGTATCCAGGCCCAGATTTTTCCTTCACAAAGGCAAAAAGCTGCTCCTTCCCTGGAGAGTTTTTTTCCAGAGGTTAATTATCATCAATTATTATGCCTGGTTAAAAAAATACATTTCCCATTTGGATTGGCCACTTCATCACCCAGCCGTGGGAGCTTGTTGGAATTTTTTTGGTGATAAATTAAAATTCTCTCACACTCGAACTCGTAGTCCTTTTCCCCAGGAGGAAAAAAAAAAAAGAAAAAAAGGCATTTTTCTGCTGCAACAGGTCATTGCTGAGTGGTTTTTTTGGTCAGATCTCATCTCACAATCCCTGAGCCTCCAGATCTCCAGGGCTGCATCCCTACTGAGGAGAGTTTAGGTACCAGCTCATTTCTTCCTGCCCTGGAAGGGATGTCCAGACCCCAAAACCAGGAAAACCTTCAGACGCCTTTTCCCATCCCAATCTCAATCCAGATTGCTGGAAATCCTCCCTGAAATTAAACCCTCTCCTAAAAATTCCCCCAAATTCTGAGGGTTGTGCCATTTCCATGCCCCAGACTGGAGCATGGGCACCTCAGGGAGATTTTTTTGCAGTGTTGTAAATCTATAATTGCCACAAACTCACTGGAACTTATTCCAGAGGACATGGACGGGTCCTTTCCAAAAGAGACGAGTGCTGGGAGCAGGTTTGATAAAATATTAAACATTTGGCAAGAGCAGCGACACACATAACCAGCAATATTTACATTTTTACATAACGGGCTTCAGGAGAAAACAAATTACATAAAATATAGAGGTTTAGTCTCCATCATTTCACTGCTCCTCCATAAATAATTCAATTCTCTTTCCAAGATTGTATTATTGCTCGTGTCGGATTTCTCTAAGAAAAACTGTGATGGGATTCTCTGCAAGATGCAAAAGAGCAAAAAACCGAGTAAATTATTCAAAAATGGATGTTCAAAACAAGACAGGGGTTTGGGACATTTCCTTGAGGCTGAGCTTGGCTTAAGCACTTGGCTCAGCGTGAAGGAAATTGGAGCAGGTTGGAGGGGTGCAATGTCCCTTCCAAATTACAGGGAGGGTCTCCAACCCCTCAGGAGTTCAAAGATGCTGCAGAGAAATCCCTGAACACAATTTAGGAATATTTTAGGCTGAGTGTTTCTCCAAATTGTCCCAGTGGTACCCACCAGCCCTTCATCCCTCTGGCTCAGGCACCACTCTTGGATGGGCAAAGCAAATCACTCATTAACATTTTGGATTTTTTAGGAGATATTTAAGACATTAATATTTTCCTACACCTCTCCAGCAGCAAGTTTCAAGGAGTGAGAAGAAAATTCAGCATCAAGCAATGCAGCCTTAAAAGCCACGCAGGGACCATCCCCACAGACAGCTGTCTGTCCAAACCCAACAACGCTTGTGCCAAAACTGGGGTGAAATTAAAGGATTCCCCACATTTTAACTCTTAACTCATGGAATATTTCTGTATAACTTGATTTTCCCTCCATTTTTGGTACCTCACTCACAGGACAACTCCTCCTTTTACCTGGGCACATGATTTTCCTGGGAATAATAAGATTTACAACACCAAGACAACAATGTTGTTTTTGAAGCCACCGTGCATTTTAAACAACCTCAGACACACAAACAAGCTTGTAATTTCCCAAGAACTAATAGATAAATACATGGGAGAATATAATTAAGGGGTTTATCAATAATCCATAGGGACAAGCAGGATATATTAAGAATCAGTGATCAGTGCCAGCATGCCTCTATATTCCCAGAGGTTTTCCTATGCAAGATTAAATAAGATTAAGTTTATTTCTTGTGAGAGATTGATGGATGGATAAAAAAGAGAGCTAAAGCAAAAACAAAGGATTTTTCCCCAAGCTGGGATTGAGTGGGAAAACATCTAAAAAATGGGATTTTTCCCCTCCCCACAGCAGAGTGGGGTTTGGTGGTGGTTTCTTGAGCCAGGAAAGAATTTTGGGGTCCTTCCAGAGGGCAAGTGGTGGATAAATGGCAGGTTATATATATTTTGATTAGAAAATCCCTGCTGCCAACTTACTCCTCTTAAATGTTTAATTTCAAGGTGTAATAAGTCCTCGGCTGGTTTTTGCTGCTCCTTCAGGCTCTCCTGTGCAAAGTTGCTGAAAGCATCTGACTGACTGATCCTTTCCCAAGCATTTCCAGGGATAAATAAAAAAATATATGTTTAAAATTACTTACCTCCAGCACTTGGGCAAGCTTTGGAGTCTGTTTTCCAGAGGCAATAGCAGCTGGTTGAGATAGAGATGGGCTGGAGGGATACCCATGGGAGGAGAAACAAAAATTAGAAATAATTGTAAAAATTGCAAAAATTGAAAAAATTATAAAAATATAAAAATTGTATAAATACAAACATGGTAAAAATATAAAAATTATTAAAATTATAGAAATTATTAAAATTATTAAAATTATCAAAATTATAAAAAAGTATAAAATTATTAAAGTTAGAAAACTTGTAAAATATTAAAAATATAAGAGTATTAAAATATATAAATGGTAAAAGTTACAATAAAACCTAAACTATTAAAATATTAAAAGCATATCAATATAAAAATTGCAAACATTTTCAATATAAAAAATTATAGATGTCTTAAAATTATAAAACCAGTAAAATCATGAAAACATTAAAATTATAAATATTATAAATATTATAATATTATAAATATTCTTTTACACCATAAAACTATAAAAATGCAAAATTATGAAAATATAAAAATATATTTTAAAATATATTAAAAATATAAAAATATAAACGTATAAAAATATAAAATTGTAGAAATATAAAATTATAGAATTATATAAGAATAGAAGAATATAAAAATATAAATTATGAAAATATAGAATTATAAAATTATAAAAATATAAAATTATATAAGATTATAAATAACTGTGAAACTAAACCCTGTGCAAACACTGCAAAACCAAAGCCAGGGCTGGTCAATAGGCTGAGCCGCCTCCAATTCATGTTCCCCTTGGGTACCTGCAGTACCTGACAAACCCAACGTGGAGATGCTGATCCTGCCCTTTCCAATTTTCGACTCCACCTGAGCTGTTCCCTCACCCTGGCTGGGCTCTGCTGCTCTTCCCCGTCCTCCTTTGGGTGCAGCCCCGATGCAGCTGCACCTTCCCCTGCACCTCTCACTGTGCAGCCCCAGCCCGGCTCCAGGAGCTCTGGAGGGAGAAGCACAGAGATGGTCACAACTCCTTAAAGATGCAAATTGAGAAGCAGCCATCATAACAAGAGAGCTCTGCTAATTCTCTTACAAGTATGCAGATTTCGGTGCTGACTTTTCCTAGGCTTATTTGTTTTATTTAGCAATAAATTTAATACCAGCTCCCTGAAGCAAAGAGACAGATGGACTATAAACTTTGAATTTTGAGTAGTTTTACTTTCGTAGGTTCATGTAATCTTTGATGTCTTCTGAAATTACATCTTGGAAAGTTCTCAGGGATTGAATTCTGCATTTTTACAGCCCTCAAAGCCATTTGATTAGCTGCCTTTTAATTTTTTTTCTTGTTCAGGTTACCTGAAGGATCTTAAATACCATCTCAGTGATTCATATCCTTGGCTGCCAGAGCTGTCTCAGGGAGCCGCCAGTGGACCTGAGAAAACCAAAGCACTGCATAATATCTTCTCTGCAGGCAAAGGGAAGCAAAATGAGCTTCATGCATCCTTTGGGATGGAAAACTTCTGAGATCTGAGACCAAAACCCCTGGGCTGGAATGAAATGGTGCCCTTGCAGAACTCAGGGAAACTGGGGTGGGGTCTGGGGAGGACCACGAAGTCACAATGCAGCAGGAAGGATTCATCTCCTTTTTTCTTCTTTTTTTGGGGTTTTTTGGTTTCGTTTTTTTGGGGTTTTTTTTGCCATCTATCAACAATGAAAAATTAGCTTGGAAATGAGGAGAAATGAAAGGGAAGCCCCTGGAGGAGGGTGGGCTCCATCCTTCAGTGGTCCACACAGGCGGTCAAATTGAAGCCAGGAGTTGATTGAGCACCATGAAGGTCACATACACAAGAACATCCTTTTAGCCAACAACCCTGAGGTGTGTGGAAATTCAAAATTTAATCTGGAGGTATAAAAAAAACCATCCCATGTGTTCAGGAGCCAGGGAGAGGTGAAGTTAAGGGTAACACTGTGATTTTTGGAGTTAACTGCTCCAACCCAGCAGAGCTCAGCCCAGCCAGGCCCCATCACAACTCATTTCCCGACCACCACACACAAATAGGGAAGGAAATTAAATGTATAAATAAATAAATAAATAAATAACAACAACTGAAAACTCGCATGGTTTCCAAGCTGCAGCCCAGGAAGGAGCAGAACAAAAATCGATATGTGTCAAATGAAAAAGGGCGAGAACAAAGGTGCTGCAAAGAGCCAAGAATAAAACCCGAATGAAAACTGCAAACGGGCTTGACTGCCAAAAAACCCACCTGCCTCAAAGTCCTGGGGGTCTCAGCAATAAATTTGGGCAATTTCAGCAGTTTTTGGTCACTTTCAGTCACCCCTGATCCCACCATGGGCAGACACTGCCACTGCTCAACCCTTTCCAGCTCTGAGACATTACTGACTGCTCAATGGCAATGGAATTAAAATGGATGATTATTATGGGCGCATTAAATTCTCGTGAGTGGCCAGTGATTAATGCCATTGTGAAGAAAACCCAAAGAACTAATGATGATGAGCCACTTAAAATGAAGTGTTGTGGGTTTCCTTATCAATGGCTCCTTGGTTTCCAACCTGGAGCTCTTGGGAGGGAGGGAAGAGAGGATTGAGAGAGGTAAAGGATCCAGGATCCCAAAGAGATGGTGCAAGGAGCACCCACATGGACGCTCTTTAAAGGTAAGATTGGTGGGAAATAGCATTTCTTGGGGAAATGGGTGGGAAATAGAAGTTTGTTGGAAAAACATTTCACTGTGGGATTCAGAGCCTTTAGGAATACTCCATTAGAAAATTAGAAAAGCAAATTTTAATTGTTACCATCTCCCCAGAGCCTGTTCTTGTCTTTCTTTTTCCCCTCTATTTTCTTATTTCCCATGGACTCTTTACCTCCTTTCTTTAACATTCCCTCCTCTCCATCCCTTGCAGCACCCACAGAGGTCTCCACAGCCAAATTCCAGTCTCAAGCAGTTTCTCTCCTCCTTCCTCTCCTTGGCTGGAACAGATTTTGCCCCAACATCATCCCATGTTGACTCCATGGGGACATGCCATCCCCTGTGGGCACAATGACAATAAAACATCCCCAGGAGACAGCTACAGCAACTTTCTTTTTGTAGGGTTTTTAGGGAAATTGCAGCAGTTGCTTGAACTTCGCAGAACCAAGCATCAAAAACCTTATTTGCACCAACATAAAAACTTACTGGACTGAAATAAAGTTGTATTTACCATAACAAGTCAGCAAACCCAAATAATTACCAATTTCCTCCCACTTGGGAGTGACGTGAGCCATAAGAGCTGTGATGACAGAGACCCCTTCTCTTCCTCCATCCACCTTCTCCAAGTGCTTCAGCTCTGAGGTCAGCCTTGTCCCCCAGTGGGAAATATTTTCTCTCCTCCCATCACCCAGACTCTTTCAGAGGCATTTCCACTTGCTGGGATGAGATTTTCTTTTTTTTCCCCCTTTTGAAAAGTGACTTCATATTCCATTTTATTTTTTTTTTTTAATGTTGCAGGATTTATTCTGTTTGAAGTCTTACATCCTCATTTCCTGTCAGGATGATTAAAATTGATTTCCGCCATCAGCTAGAAAAAGATAATCTGAAGTGGGTTCCTGTGAGAGAGAGCTCTATCCCCACTGGAGACATTACTAACCCTCTCCTATTATTTTAACTTTCTTTTTTGGGGGATGTCTCTTTGGAAAAGGACAACTCAGCGCTTCTCAGCTGTGTGTGTCCTCCAGGTAAATTGGGAAGAATAATTTACCCTCATTTTATTTTCCCCATCACAGAGAGCGGGCTGAGGGATTTAAATAGTTCTTGTTTACCACTGCCACCCTCCTGGCAGTATTTTTAGAGGAGTAATTGGATCCTCCCGATGCCTTTGCTTTGCTTTCTGGAGCTCCACATCCTCTGACCCCACACCTGCACCTGTCCCAGTTTGTATCTGGGCGAGCTGAAATGGGACGGGGTTTTCCCCAGCATTAATCTGGGTGGTTCCCGGTGCACTCAGAGACTTTGCAGGAGGAGGAAAGAGGGATTTGGGCTAAAAAACCAGCCCAAATTTGGGCTGGAAAGCTGTAAAACATCTGGCCAACAAAGAAAACGTGGAAAAAATTACTCTGGAGGGCAAGTGGCACTCAGGGATACAGAGGTTCCAACCTTTGCCCATCTCTTAAATCAACTAAACCTGGAATATTCTAAATTTAAAAATCAACTAAAATAAACTAAGGTTTTTTTCAAAAACAATTCAGCGCATTTTTATAATTGATTAAATAAATTTTAAAATTAACAGAATCAACTGCATGTGCTGGATATATGGAATAACCTCCAAAATATCCCTAAAACATAACCATCTTTCCAGGCTGAAGCATCCTGGGGCCTCATGACCACGCTGATTTGCAGCACAACCCCATAAGCAAATGTATGCAAATGAGAGGGGACCGGTGGTTGCTATCACACCAAGCACAAAATGACACACGTGTACTGAGAGCCTTTCCCCCAACCACCATCCCCAGACTCCCAAGCCACGAGGAATCCCCCCAAAAAAGGGGTCCCCAGCACCCCACAGCTCCCCATGCCCAGCTTGAACACCCTCACACGAGAGCAATTTAACGCCATTCCCAGCTTAAGCTCCACATCTGCCGGGCGTGAAATTAGTTCCAGCAAGCTGCAAATTTGCCACTAATAAAAATATTTAGCAATTCGCCAGTCTTTAAATCAGGAGCAGAATATTTTCTTCCCTGCATCAACGCCTGTTTCTTTTTAATTCTAATATTGGAGCTGCAGCCGTAACAGTGGAAGCCTCACGACTGCGCGAGAGGTTTTAAATCAGCTCCCTCGGCGCTTCCAACCCCACCACCAAGACTTTGATCAATTATTATCATTTGATGCTTGGCCACGTTGGTTCTTTTGGCCACCAGGATGAGCTGGCCATGGTGGATTCGGAGGTTTTAAAGCCAAAAAAAGCCATTTTGACCCAAAGCTGCTCTGTTTTGCTCCTCTCACAAAAAGCTTTGATCCATGTGATCCTGTCTTGCAGGCCTTGGAGGAAGGTGACCTCTCCATCCCTCTGTGCCAAGGGTTTAATTAGCCTCAGTGCTAATTGTGTCTGTCTGCCAAGCCCATTTCAAACAATGCCAGCCTCAGGATCTTTGTCAAGAAATGCCACAATTCCCTTGTGGCATTCATATTTTTTGAAAAATCCCTTTGCCCAGGATTTTTCTCCTGGGA